GATCATGAGGAGATGAGTTCACGGAGTGGATAGGTATCACTAAAATTCAATTTAGTGATACCTAACAATAAAAATTCAATTTTTACATACAAACCACATTTCCTATGCATTGCATACATATCACTCAATTCTTATGTATATACACACCTAATTCCTAAACTGCAATTTTCACATGCATATCGCATGTTAATGAAAATACTGGTGCGAGTAGACTTACCTTCTTCAATGCTTTCTAATAGGAGCAGAGCGGAAAGATGTGAAATACAGGAGTTTTGGTGGTCTCTGTAAGCTCGATCTGGTCGTTACCTTCATAGCTAGTTCTATTGAAGATTGTATCGCAAAGGTTCAGTTGGGAGGGCGATGGTTTCGAGCGAAACTAAAAGGGAAATGGGAAGGGAAGAGGGAAAGCTTGCAAGGGCTTCAGGCAAAAAGGGTGACCAAGAGAGGCGTCGAAAGAATAAATGCAAATCAGACACTAATATTTGTGTTAGAAAAAGTCGACCCTGATATCAGACGCTAATAACAGCATCTTCTAAAGATATTTTTTTTCATTTCTATTTTCTCGTTTGAAATAATTTGAGTGAATATCTTATTTTTATGTACATATTTATTTTTTTGTAGGTTCAATGCATTTTTTTTATTTCTGTTTTTCATTTCTACATTCATTACTATTACTTTAGTTTAATAAATGCTCGGATTAGTAAATTGTGCTGTGTTATATCACATTGAGTTAAATGTTATGATTGCAGGTATAAAAATTAATATGATGCAGAAGGATACTTATTTATAAATTTTGTTTTACAGTTTTCTAACTTCCCCTCTACGGCCTATTGATGGACTGATAACCCATTCCAATTAACAGCTTGTAAACCCACGAACATTTTTTTAGTTTCCTCTCATGCTCAAGTTTGCCAATGATTGAAACCATCAATTAATACCAACAGTTTATCGACACATTACCAATGATCACCCTAATGTCGATGCAACGGTTTTCAAGCCGACATTTATGAGTACTTACAGATGGCTTACCAACGATTTGTTATTCATCTAACAATGATGGGCATAGTTTGTTGATAAACAATGGGAAATAAAAGCTGTCGGAAAATTTGTCGCTTTTCCAATTACTAACAAGTGATTTATCTATGTCCAATAATCTGTCACGAAGCGTCGGAAAATTATTAATCTATGGTATTATAATAATAGCTGACGACTTATGACCGCCAAAAATAGACCAAGTTCATTTAGTGATAGTGGATAGATTTTAAGTTTTAAAAAAATTAAAGTATGATAATAAATGTCCATTCCTAAAGCATTTAGTTAAAGAATAAAACTCTACGCATAATAAGCTATGAAAAATCATCTTGACATAATTAATTCCTTACAACATATTGATAAAAGTTTCAAAAGTAGTTTTTTCAGCAATTTTAGAATCTTTATATACTTTCTACTTTATTTCAAACATAGGCTAAGACAAGAAATTCAATCATATATCATAATATGATTGTTTCATTAGAGTGATTTGGGTACTACTAGACAGTAACTATTGAACGTACATTTTCAGCTATAAGTTTTGTTTAGATAAGATCATAGAAAAAAAATGGAAGATGATTTTATTGCATGTTTATTAATGATATATTTTAAAAAAGATATCACAATCAGTTTTGATGTAGAATTAATAATGAAGAAAAAGGGCAGATTCAATTTAATATGTGTATTCATAATGACTACATTGAATAGATTTTTTTAATTTTATTATTTTCTCAAAACAATATTTTTCATCTCATTTATTTATTTATTTATTAAGAAATTTAATTTAATTTACCTCCAACCTCACCCCTTCTTCTTAATAACTAGTTCTGCCATTACTTTGATGTAGAGGAATTGCACCACTTAATGATTAGTTTAATGCAAGGAGCCACATAAGTTTAAACTTTACACTTCTTTTTTGATTTTTTTTAGATTTTAATAAGTCAATTTAAATATTTATTTTACTATGAAAACAAATAACAGTAGAAGAAGGGAAAAATATTGTATCCGGATGACCAATCATGTGGTGCCACAACCTCATACATCTCATTTATGAGTGACATGACGCTGTCAGAGTGGTCGTTCGGTCGTAATTGTCTCGATGCAATATTTTTTTAGTACAAGAGCGTGCATGACTTCTTAGTATTAAGAAATTTAATTTAATTTACCTCCAACCTCACCCCTTCTTCTTAATAACTAGTTCTGCCATTACTTTGATGTAGAGGAATTGCACCACTTAATGATTAGTTTAATGCAAGGAGCCACATAAGTTTAAACTTTACACTTCTTTTTTGATTTTTTTTAGATTTTAATAAGTCAATTTAAATATTTATTTTACTATGAAAACAAATAACAGTAGAAGAAGGGAAAAATATTGTATCCGGATGACCAATCATGTGGCGCCACAACCTCATACATCTCATTTATGGGTGACATGACGCTGTCAGATTGGTCGTTCGGTCGTAATTGTCTCGACGCAATATTTTTTTAGTAGAAGAGCGTGCATGACTTCTTAATCCAATAGTTAAAAACCTTTCCTCTAGCTCTCCATGAAGGCAAACTTCCAGCACCGTAATTAATACTTTTTCTAAGTCTTAATTGTTGGCGATTATATGTGCTCAACTACTAAAATAATAGATAATAAAAGATATAGAAAATTCTAGTATATATTTTCATTTTTTACGTAGAAATATTTTGTGCCCTATGCATGGATTTAAGTATGCTCTTGTTCTCTCAGTATTTATGCACAGTTAGACGAAAGAATAATTTGCATTTACTCCTCATCATTCAAAGTGGTATCCATGAAAGAGTTATGGCATTAAATTCAGATTACTTTTCAATAAAATATTAAATTAAAATCTGTAATTAAAAGCATCCCATTTAGTTTCCATATGAATGTGAACAGACTTCTGAGTTTGAAAACCAAAACGTATAGATTTAATTAAATCCAAACAAAGAAGACTTCACAACTAATACTTTACTGCAATCTAAACTCCAACAAGCATAACCTTTCCATAGATCATACGTTAGGAAAAACGTAAATGGTCTTCCATTTATTTTTAAAAAATTGCAGCTTGTGTTTTTTCAAACTCTTAAACTATATTGAACGGAAGTTTGAAACTTGAACGCCGTATTCAACCTAACCAGGCTTCATTTTTCTCACCGATTCAAAATATTTTGTGAAAACGAACACTTCGGCGTTGAACATAAATTCAACCTACAAACAAATAAATGTTTGCCAACAAATAATATGTTTGCAAGTCAGCAGACTTGTTTGGAAGTAATAAATTCAACATAAGTTATTGCCATGTTATCAGGAGAGGTAAAACATTTCGGTGAGATGGTGATGAGATGAATAAATCCTCTACAAGGCAAGGGAGAAAAGATATAATTAGTAAGTTTTCATATATTTTTTTATATATTAATAATTTAAAAAAGTTTTATTCTTCTATAACCATTTCTTAAAATGAACAAATGCCGACTGACTATCGCTCGAAATTCTTATGTAAAAATATCATGCAATGTTGACTACCAACAAATGAATGGTACACATTTTAGTTCACATTTGAAGTCAAAGGACTTTAATATAAAAATGTGAATGAGAAATTTGTTTGAAAACTATTTTTTCCGGTCAATTCTTTTGACATGTGAATACCACTACAAAAAATCAAACTATATATATAAAAGGGCTCATTGAGAACTCAGGCGTTTAAACAGATGCCACAACCATATTTCATGGTGGTCGTTAAGATAGAGAAATGTCGGTTTGACTATGGACGTAGCTACTTATTTTAAGATCTGCATAAAAGTAAGAAAATAGTCCCACAATTGAAAGGATAATAATCTGATAGCGGTGTCGACTTTTGATAATTAGATAAATTTGTGGGTTGGGTTCTGTTTATTGGTTTATTAGGCTTAGTTAAAACCAAAGTATATCAGCTTTAAATGAGAAAAAAATCAGGATATTCTGACCCACATTTAACTCTGATAAACTTAGAAAGTTAACGTACAATATATTTTATTTTATTTTATTTAAATGAAATAAAATTATGGGCGACGTTAGAAATTAATAATTAACTAAACTATCTGATATTATGTTACTATTCTTTTCTGAGATATTTGTTATCGGGCAGTTCGGTAAAAAGTGGAAACAAATTGGGTTCGAACAGCTGACCAAAAAATAACTATCATGTATTTTTTATTTTTTTTTTGCTGTTTTAAATAAATACCACATTATAAGCAATTAACTAATATATAATTATGCTCGATTTAAAATGAATCGAATAATATAAAAATCCATTTTTTTTAAAGTTATTATATTTTCTAATCCATTTTTTTCCTCAAAAATGAGCACTACCTAGATGATTTAGGTAAGAAGCTTTAAGATTGTTTAAAATATTTTGACCTAGTTTTTATTAAGAATATCTTAATTAAGTGACACGCGATAAATTTTTTATAATGATTTTCTTATGATCGTATTAAATATCCTAAGATTTTAATGTTTGGTGTACATTTTACAGTAAATATTTATGCATTCATAATCAGCAATCCCAAACATAAATGTATGATGGCAAAGCTGGAATCATTTGGAACAATATTCTAATTATACATGGAAGAGCTTGCACAAAATATAAGCTATTACGATTTTGAAATCATTTAATGCCTTCTGGATTTCATTAAGCCGTTCATGATGCGTCTCATCGAAATGTTTATTTTGACTTTAAACTATTTCATATCAAAGTTGTGTAACTTTTTATACAAACATTATATTGGATGATTTTTTATTATTATTATTATTTTTTTTTTTGTCATATTTAAAAAAAAAACAGTTGAAATTATGCGGATGGATTTTTGTTCCTGGAACAAATTTGTGCTGACACCGAAAGCATTTTCAAAGAAGTTGTCTTTTCTAGAGATTAATAAATGGGGAAAGAAAAGTAAAAGTCTTCCCCCCTAACCCCTGCCCGCCCCCACCAACCCAAGCTAGAGACATATCCCCACCCCCTTTCTATCTTTCCCTTTACCTCCCCCTCCTTACTTCTCACTCTCTCTCCACATCCTTCACTTCTCTTCATCTTCCGCAAGCAAAAATTCATGTCGGGAGAGAAGTTAGGGGAGCTCTTCCACCATGACAGCACCATCTTCGATCCATACCCCCTTTTCTCGCTTCGATCTGGCGGGACGCAAGGACTTGACTCTGGCCTCCCACAATTCGCAGGATTCTTAGACTACCTCCAAAGTTCCACCGACTTCAGCTTCGCGAGCTCATTATCGCAGGAACCTTTCATCCCCATCGGCGACCGACATAAGGTCTGCAAGGCAGAGCCGGGAGGTACTGAGAACGTTATCAGCCCAGGCTATGGAGGTGGAGGGACCACGGCTTTGACTGCTAATTCTTCAGTGTCTTCCTCGTCTACTGAGGCTGCCGGAGAGGAAGAATCGGATAAGAACGAGAAAAATGAGGAGAAAGAGCTGGAGGAGGAGGAGGAGGAGAATAAGGAGGGTAAAGGGGTTGATGATGGAGCTAATGAAGATGACAAGGCCAACAAGACAGTGTATGTTCTTTGCTATTTTCTTACACTTCTTCTTTTTGTTACTCGTTTTGTGATATTATTCATCTTGAACAGGAGGCTACTTTGATTACTTTTTTTGTTCGTAAGCTCTGATCTGATGAGTGACAACTTTCAGGAATTATCTTCTTTAAATTTTTAAATTTTAAGGTGAAAGAATTAGTTAAGAAAATTAAGGATGTTCTATATTTTGAATTATCCCGATCGAATTTAGTTTCTTTATAGTTTATACTTTAGTAAAATCAAGCCGTGCATAACTTCGTCTTTATGATTCGTTAGGGTTTTCAACCTATATATGAACGCTTTTCACCAACTTGGGGTTTTCTTCTGAACATGTCCAAGCTAGGGTTTCTCAAAATTCATTCTTTTCTTTCTAATTCCCAGCTCCTCTGGCGAGTAGATTTCTTTTTTTTTTCTTTTAATTATAGCTATGTTGCCTCTCATAAATTCTAAGACGGTGTAAATACATTATTGTTAAAGTTTTAATGATTAATCTGGACATGTAAAAATGCATGTCTCAAAAAAATGACGAATTCTATATTCAGAGATGCCTATATTTCATATGGAAGTAGCAGTTTATAAAGTTGCTACCATTCTCTAGTAGGAGAAACTAAGAAGCAACAGTGATAGTTTTTTCTATAGCCTGAAAGAGCTACAATTATTTTCTATTACACTACGAGTGTTACTACCCGCTACTGTTTAAAGCTCAGTGTACGATTAATTGTGTAAATTCTTGTTTGAAAAGTTTCAAAAATCATACGCTTAAATTGTGTCTCATTTCATTTTCATTTGTTAGTGAACTTGTTTTCTGTAGTTTCACATTTGAGAACTTTCTGATTGCAAACAGAAGCAAGGCGAGAAAGAAAGGAGAGAAGAGGCAAAGAGAGCCACGCTTTGCTTTCATGACAAAGAGTGAGGTTGATCACCTTGAAGACGGTTATCGTTGGAGAAAATATGGACAAAAGGCTGTTAAGAACAGCCCCTTTCCTAGGTAATTATATGTATTTATAATTGTTTTTTTTTTCCTATATATTTTACAGATATATGAGAACGTACTATGTTACATGACTATACAAAGTTTATTAAATTTAATCATATATTCAATTGACAAAATTTATATATATATAAGGAATTATTAACAAAAATTCCTAGAATAAACCTCACCTATTTGATTGGTAAAGTGCTCATCTTATACTTGTTCCTGCACTAATTAGCAAATGCACTTTCATTTATTGTTTATTAAAAAATCACAAATTATAGCGTTTAGTTGTTAGTCATGTACACATTGTACTCTATTTTAATTATTTAATATCTAATTTTATTCATATGGCTTTCACTCTTCACAGAAACCCTACGAGAATTTGCCCGGCCATACAAACTTTGACCATTTCTAAATTACCATAATTTTATTAAAAAAATACCCTTACAATTTTCGTCAATTTTGTAAATTCAACACATTTAAAACACATTTCGTGTAACAATGGTATATAAATAAAAAAATAATTAAAAAAATCAGAGTAAGAGAAGCTTGCATCAAGATCCACACATATCGTGTCTGTTGTCACGACGCATAAATACGATAATAAAAAAGTATATTAAAGTATTAGGAGACTAATTTTCTACATTATGCCCGAGAAAGACAGAAAGTAATTCAAACAAATCTTATCTTTCTATGCCCTGGAACATTAAGACTAATTATGATAACTGTAATTTGACTTGAATAGATACAATTATTTGCTACCCATATAATTATTATTAGCAATCAACATCCTATTTATATCTCTGCATGTTCATATCTCATAATCTGCCAAGCTGAAAGTAGAGCATTTCCTTTGTTTCATTTAAAAAATTTCCAGGAGCTACTATCGTTGCACCACACAGAAGTGCGCAGTAAAGAAGAGAGTGGAACGATCTTATGAAGACCCATCAATAGTTATAACAACGTATGAGGGGCAACACACCCACCACTACCCATCCAACGTGCGAGGAAGCTCCCACATGCTCGCAAACCAGCAGCCTTCCGTGCCACCAGGCTTCCACCACGACTTCTTTCTGCAAACCCTAACACCTCCACTTCAGCAGCTTAACCTTCCAGCCAACTATCATGACCTTCTTCTCCTACAGAACAGCATCCATCATCCATCGTTCATTAACAGCAACCAGCCCTGATAATGCATGCGATATTAGAACGTACACTAGTTAATGTTCTCCGTTTCTTGTACATATGGAACACTTGGATTATTATATTTCTGCTCTTTAAGTACTAGTAGCTATGATGCAGTACGGCTGCATGTTAATTTGATTTGCTTTTAAAGTTGGATGTGTTCAGAGCTATTTTCTATATTTGGAGGGGATTGGTGGAGAGGAGATTTATGCTTCTGATATTAGAAGTGAGTCTTTAATGGCTGAGTAGGCTGAGATTGTTCCGAAGAGATATGTCTTTTTCATTGGGAAAGTAACATGGTATAGGGACCACTGCATTTAATGTGAAGTTGGGAGGAGGCGGAAGACAATAGCGTGCCCTATCATGCAGAGCGAGCTTTTGGTCCATGTTTGGTGGATGGAGTTATTGAGGAAAGATTTTGAGTTTTTTTTAGCTCGGAAGACTTTTTATTTTATTTTATTGATCCTTAATTATTTTCTCAAGTATTGATTAGCTTAAGTTATTTATCTTGCTGTATGAGCTTTAAGTGCGAATTTTGGTTTTGATTTCACAATTAAGGAAAGATTTGTAACATTGAGGCTCAAAATAAGTACAATCTACCTGAATTTTGTTGAGACCACGAAAATATAAATTTTCTTGAATTCTTATAGTTGCATAAATTTTAGCACAGGAACTCGCTCGCGGAATCTGCTGGCTAAGAAAAAATTAATCGATTTCAATGGGTTTAAACCAAAAATAGCAAAAATGATTCGAAATAATCGCACCAAAATTAGAACTACTTCAACTATAATAGTTATACTTTTATAGAAGATAGGGATCCACGATAGTCCTACTAATTCTCCTGATGACAAATTTTGCACTACACATCCTCAAAAAATAAAAATTAGGATATTATGAAAGAAGAAATTATTGTACAGTATATTCAAATATTCGCAAAAAAATTATAGCTTTCTCGTGCAAGGTTTGCATGCATAATAATGAATGACCTAAATAACCTTTGTAATAGTAAGAGGTTGTCCTTGGCAAATCTTTCATCTTGATAAAAAAATGCATAATGAGAACGATTTTTATGGCTCCCTTTTGTAGTGCTTTCTTTTATTTCTTTTTTTTTGGCAAGACGAGCACTTGAATAAGATAATTGAACTTGTTCAAAAAGCATGATAACTTTTCTTTTTTTGATAAAAAAAATCATCAAATATTTAAATTATTGAAATATTATCAAATAATTAAGTATATCCCAGAGGTAAAATTATTAAATTGCCTAATGTATATATTAAAAGCACCAAATATTCTTACTTATATAGAAAATCTCAAATTTCTGGGTAAATAATTGTCAGCCTTGATTTTGTCAAAACTCGTACAAAATCGATAAGCTGACAACAGAGAATAACATAAAGAAGAGTTGCATAAGCATGGAAGAAGAAATTCTCTAATATTCAATATTAACCATGGGAATATAGGTATGTGCTAGTATATAAAGGTTGTAAGGTGCCCTCTAGAGTGAGTTGGTTATGTGGGTAAAATAGTAAGTAATTGTTGTAAGTAATGATGAGGCACATTGCTGCCAAAGAAGTGGAGAGCTGCTCCTTGTTGCTGAGCTGAGCACATTGCTGCCAAAGAAGTGGAGAGCTGCTCCTTCTTGTTGCTGAACTGTGCTTCACTATGATCCCCCCTCAAACTGACACTTTCTGCCCATGAGGATTAATTTTTTTTCAAAGAGCAATGAGATGCGATGTGGGAAGTGATTTGGTCAAGATATCGACAAGTGTTCAGTTGTTGGTATGTAGGTAATCTCAAGTTCTCTTCAGTGAAGTGTTTCTTTGATCAAAAAGTGACAATCTATTTTGATGTGTTTAGTTCGAGCGTGAAAAGTGAATTACGAGCTAATGACATGGCGGATGTGTTGTCTTAATGAATGACAGTCAGTTTCGTAATTGGAGCTTAAAAGTGCTGTAGAAGGTGCTTGAGCCAAATCACATATGTGGCAGCTGTCGATAGTGTTCGATATTCGGCTTTGGTTAAGGAACAATCCATGGTGAGTTGTTTCTCGATTTACTAGGAGATAGGCTTGTTATCGATGAAGGAGCAATGACGTATTACAGAGTGGCAATCAAGGGGATCCTTGGCCCAAGTGAATTCAGAGTAATTATGAAGAAGGAGGGAGCTGGTTTGAGTGGACAAGCAAAATTCATAGTACTTTTAATGTAGCATAAGAGCCTTTAAGTTATTGAAAATGTTGACAATTACGATTTTGAAGATGTTGCGACAATGTATTGATCGCATAGGTGATGATTGGTTAAGTGATGGTAAGATATTGGAGAGAGCTTAGTAATTAGTTATACAATTGAGGGTTTGCAAATTTTATGGAGCTAAAGAGAGGTGTGAAAGTAGAAAGTCGATTGTAGTTGGATTTATAGTCAGCCATACCTGCATTTTTTAGTATATTAGAGGCATATTGGGCTTGGTTAAAAAAAGACCTGATTTGGTGTATTGAATGTTGATTCCCGACAAGGTGGAGACGAGTCCTCATGTCTTGATCTTGACATGATGCTACAAGTTGTACATGAGGTGCTACATTTAGGTGGGATTGTTGCCCATTACCATGATTTCATTGTCATACATCAACAAAGAAAGGGAGGTTGAGTTTTAATGGTATGTAAATAATGAAGGATCGACTTGACTTTGTTTGAAACTGAATAATAATAATTGGCATATGAATTTTTTTAAAATTGATGAGGTCCTTATTTAAGGTCGTAGATAGCCTTTTTTAGGAGGCATACATCTTAGTATGTTAGATATTCAAAAATTCTGGTGGTTGGTGCATGTAGAATGTTTGTTGCAGTTCGTCATGGACAAATGTGTTGGCAACATTCATTTGAAGAACTGGCCAATTGTAATGTAGAAAGATGACAAGAAGAAGAGGGGTTCTAGGAAGCTTGAAAACCAGACTAAATGTGTCAGTTTAATGAATCTCATACTTTTGTTGATGTACAAGTGCAACGAGCCTTGCTCTGTATCAAGTGATGGTTCCATCAACGCTGTGTTTTATTTTATAGGTCTATTTGCATCCAAAAATTTGTGTTGGGTGGTGGGGTAAAGAGAACGCATATATTTTTGTGTTGTAATGCAGTAGTTTCCTTAAGCATGGCATTCCACCAATAGTGGTATTGAATTGCTTCTTTAAAGTTGAGTAGCTCAGAGTTTGAATTAATGTAGTGAGTTAGATTGAAGATACATTTGGGCTGAAGAGAGCCAGTTTTGGATCTGGTCACCATAGGATGAGATGTTTTAGGGTTTGTTAGGTGAACTAAAGATTGTAAAGCCGAACGGAAGGAGGAGAGTATGGCGTGGATATAAGAGGTGAGTTGTGAGATTTCTGAGATAGGACTGAAGACTAGAAAGGATGTAATGGAATTGATGTAGAAAGTCGGAATAGTGGTAGAGTGGTAGACGGGGTTTGTGGGATGCTAGTGTGATGTGCTGGGACATTGTAAGGGAAGAAAGTTTCAGTGAAGCAAATATGTCGAGAGAGAAAGGCCCTCCAACTTTTGGCATCCACTTTTAATGACATACACATTGTATAACTTTCTGAGTTATAAGGGGTCACATCGCATTCTTATGTAATATCTCGTCTCTGTTGACCTCATTTTTAGTTGAGGTCTAGTTTTTTCCGTTTTAGTAGCCTAGGGTCTTGTCATAGGACTTTCTAAGGTCTAGTTTTTTCCTCTTTAGTAGCCTAGGGTCTTGTCATAGGACTTTCTTGTTGACTATTTTTAGAGGATTATAAAAGGAACCCTTACCATTAGAAATTCTAAATTCTTCTTTACTCAACTTGAAGTTCCACATGTTGGTCCTAACCTCTAGCACTTAGTAGGTGGGACCAATATGGAGGAGCTCAAGGGGAGTCCCCCATAAGATGGTCAGACCTTAGGACTAACCCTAGACGATCTAGTTTTGGTGGGGCTAGCTTGCACACACTACATTCTCCCACATACCCTAAACCCTATGACCCCTTAGGTTGGTCTCCTGACACCTTTTGGAAAGCTCATATAGATGAACCTATACCACTAGTCTTTGGCTAAGAGGGGTTAGAGCCAGCATATTGAGCATCCAAAATGAGTCTTCACATGGCTCCTATTTGTTTGATATGGCTTTCTGGCTTGTTGGTCCGTTTTGTCCCAAAATCATCAAATTATCAAAATACCCCTATAACCCTAATTTTTGCCCAAAAAATCTAAAGATTACCCAAATACCTAAATATGTCCAAAAATCAACTCAAACCCCCACCACTACCCAAATTGACAAAAGTTCACAAAAATCACTAAATCCCCAAAATACCCCAAAAATTGCCCAAAATTACCAAAATGCCCCTCATGACCAAAAAATTTTAAACATTCAAAAAATTCCAAAATCATCTCAAATATTTCCAAGTTCAATTTTTGACTATCAATTTGACCCAATTTGACAAAATTAGTCCAATTTGACCAAAAACCCCAATTTACCCTTTAAGGCCCAAATGTCCCCAAATTAACCCCAAATTTGGCCCAATGGACCCCAATCTTGCCCAATTTCAATTCTAAATCAAAATTCAGCATCCCCAATCATAATATAAACAAAATTCAAGCTCAATTTGATCCAATTACAAGCTCAATTTCACCCAAATCAAAAAGCCCCAATTTTGACCATATGCCTAAATCCACTAAAATTAGCCCGCTAATTCAATTCAAAATCACTTGAAATTCTTCCAAAGCCTTCATGACATATTCTTACATCAAAATAAACATTAAATTAGCCTTAAAATTTAGCCCAAAATCAATTTCAAATTCAAAAGCCCAAGCTTACAACATTTAATTTCAAAAGCCCAAATCCAAAGCCCACATGACAATTCTTTCTCTTCATCATCCATTTGATTAAAATATTTCCTAAAGTCATAAATTCAAAATCATGCATCATTCCAAACTCCATTGATTAAAATATTTCCTAAAGTCATAAATTCAAAATCATGCATCATTCCAAACTCCATCAAAATATCTTATAAATTCAAAATAACCCTTCTCATGAAAATTAGCCAAGTCAAATGGAAACCATGAAGCCACTTCCAAGCCATATAAAAGCCATGAGAGCCTTGCCACATCATCAAGCTATTAATGGCAAGAGACCAAGACACTTTCAAGCCTCCTTAAAAAGATTTTAACTCTTTTAATGACACACTTAAACCCATGTTTAGACAAAATACCTTGGATGGGGACCTCTCCACACCACTTCAGCTGAGCCACCTAATTCTCCTGAGCACCCTAACATTCCTTGAGGGCTTAACCCAACCCCAAACCATGATTTGACCCAAATTGACCCAAAATAGCCCTTTCCCCATACAATTTCAATTTAATGCCTT